CTAGTATTTCTGCGCTAAGTCAATGAATTTTAGTTTAATATGGTATGCCTCATGCAATTTTAATGTTAGGAAATTTTTGTACTTTCTTGATCAAACATCTTAGCAATTCTTTACACTTCCATTGCGCTTTGATGGTTTTGACGCATACTATAGGTGATTTGAACGTTCTTTTCTTTGCGTAGATGAAACAGTAAATCATCTTTTCTGGTGTAGACGAAACAATAAATCATCTTTCCTAGAAACCTAAGTGAAATCAAAATTTTAGAATTATGAAATTTCTAGAAATCTTGCCATGTTGCGGTCGAGCGTGATTGTCGATCGGCTGCATAGCATCTCCACAGACACTGGATAAGTGTCGCTGCAGCGGGGATTTGTCGATTAAAGTGTTTCTGACGTTGTTTTTGTTGCACTTTCAGTGCAAATCCGGATCCTAGGATACCCTGAAACGCATGAAGAGCGAAACTAAGCACTGATCGTAGCGTCTGGAAAAGTTTGCGGTTGCATAAATGGAGATGCAAGCTGCAAATTAACAGCTTTCCCAGGAATTCCAAAAAAGGCAACAAAACGAAATTAAACACAGATTGTTCGGAAGCTGATTATGAAGAGTCATTAAGTTTAGAAATATTTCAGCAGTCGATAATTACTTTGATATTTTAATCAGCTACAGTTCATAACTTAGTTTCTCAGTTCTCACTCGATAACTTTTCCGTTTTCTTTGGCCAGTACTGCATCGCCTATTGGTCAGTCTGTTGGCGATCCTGGTGTTTGTTTCATCTCTTTACCGGTAGTAGCAAACAGCAATGCTTTAGCCATTTCGGGATATTCTCTGCGCATGTTGAGTGTCACAACCTTGTCTAAAACACTGTCATTTCTTAGATCAGAATGAAGTAACACACCAAGTAAGGGTCAAAACCAATATGGTTCATACCTTTTCGAAATAGAGCAAAAAAAAATAATGAGCGCGGACGTAAAGGAACTGAGTTATTTAAGTTACTTTAATCTGCCCTTGTTCTGGCATTTGTGGCCCAAAAAGCACTGAGTTACCCATGCTCTTTTATTCATTCAAATCCCCCTTTTCACTTCTCGGATGACTGAAAAGTTATTCTTAAAGATGCTTACCGCAGGTAATGCGAAAAACGAGATTGCGAATAAGGCGAAGCATGAAGCAACGATACGGCCAAGCCATGTCTGTGGTACAACATCACCGTAGCCAATTGTTGTCATCGTCATCTGAAAATTCTGGATTGGGAAC